CCTGGTGCTCCTGGCTGTCCCACGCTCCAGACTTCAGCTTAGGGGTGATCGTACCTTTGCCATGTCTGCCCCCAAACTGTGGATCAGCCTCCCTCTCCCAAATAGATCTGCTCCCTCCATTGACTCGTTTAAATTTTATTCATTGCGCCTGAGTCCCCCTGATGTGGCTTTCTCTGATGCGTGCCTGTGAGCGTTGTGTCTCGAAATGTATGAGCTGTGTACCTGACAGTTATGTTGCCTCTTGTTTTTACCGCAACACTTTGGTCAGCGTGAGTTGTTTTCAGATGTGCTTTCTAAATAAATTTGAGTTGTGTTGAGAGCACGTCCCATAAATGCTCAATCAGACTGCAATCTGGGGAATTTAAAGGCTAGACAGACACCTTGAGCAGTTTGTCACATTCCTCGGGACATTCCTGAGCAGTTTTTCTAATGTGGCATGATGTTTTGCTCTATGGGGGGACTGCTGACATCAGGGAGTGCTGCAACGATGTTTGGGGGGGTGGAGAGTGTCAGGTGGCATCCACGTGAATGCCAGTACCTAAGGTTTTCCAGCAGAACATTGCATTGTAGCTAGTGATGGGAGTCGATTAAAAAAAATTAGGGGCTTTGTAATTAATTAATCGCAATTAATTGCATTTTTATCAAGCTGGGTCAGGCGACGCTATTTGTAGCACCTTTTCCAGCCCCTTATCCGCCAAAAGTAGTCTACAGACCACTGCAATCCATCTCGCCAGAGAGTTTGTTAATTTGTCATACGTAGACTTACTTATTTTGGCCTTGGTCTATTGTGGGCTGGCTACACTGTTTGCCTGTACCAGGACTGTCGTAGCTAACGTTCTGCATTGAGGTGATACCGTAGGCTTGAAGTGCTGTGGTGATAAGAAAGCTCTTTGTTGCACAATTTGCACACAGCCATGCTCTTATCCAAGCTGCCATCAAGCCAAGCAATGCTGTCTCGTCTTCCATCACTGTTCACCAAACATTCTTGTGCGCTGATGTCACTCAGTACGTCCTGTGCATCGTCTTCGCAGCTGGCAAGCGATTACCGCCACCTACCAGGCTGGAGTGTGTGCATCAGTGTTACCGGTATGCCAGAAATGAGGGAACTGAGAAACGTGTGTGACTCACCAGAGGATCCATGTTACAATATTATTGCGATATGATGAGTATTGCAATTAATTACCCTTTTTTCAACTGCAAATTATTACCGTCCATCAGTTTTCAATCGCTTATCCAAAGCCGGGTCATGGGTGCAGCAGACCAAGCAAAGCACCCCAGATGTCACTCTCCACAGCAACACTTTCCAGTTCCTCCTGGGGGATCCCAAGGCGTTCCAAGGCCAGACGAGATACATAAACCCTTCAGCGTGTTCGGGGTCTGCTCCGGGGCCACAGGGCTATGTTTCTAACATGTAAGAAAAGCCTTGGTTTTCACCAGAGCTGTATGAACGCAGATCTTTGCACATGAAGTAGGTGATGGAGTGTGTTATTTTCTTCGCTCTCACAGTTGGATGGTAGTTTTGTTGAGCTAAGTGTGTCCAGTGCTGGTTGAGTTTTCGGCAGAGCGGGTTTAGCGTTAGCTTGGCCGTCAGCAGCTAAATGTGAGGTGAGCCCTCATGTTCGTAGTATTCCCAGAGTATTTCATTTTCATATGACACTGCTGTAAATCATGTGTGTCATGTCCAAGTCCTCCTTCTGTGTAAAAACTCCCAAATAAAACCAGACGTGATTTAAACACAGATGGCGCATTTCAGATTTCTTTCTCCAGTGCCTCCATCTTTGTTTTGATGAACCTCCTGCCAAATGCTGCTGACTGAGACCTCTGCTGACCTCACCTCAAAAAAACATCAGCACCATCTAGTGGACCAAAAAAGCAACTGATTTTATAATGGTAGCAGCAAAAGTTGTAAGATCGATACTTGGCGTCCGTGTATCGATACAGTATCGCCACGCAAAATATCGCGATACTATGCTGTATCGATTTTTCGCCCCACCTCTAACCTAACCTAACCTAACCTAACCTAACCTAACCTAATTGCAGGCCATGAATCTTTGAAACTGCAGGGAGAGTGCATTTTTCAGAGCACTGGACGTTTGTCTTCCGGATAACATTCTCTGTCTGGAGAGGTTTTTGTTGTGTGGAGCATCACAATAATGAGAAACAGCTTTAATGAAGAGTTTGTCTGGTTTGAGTGGTGCATTTAATTGTTGGCTTTGTCTTTAGACAGTTCTGTGAAGGCCACTTTCATTCTCCTCAAACCATTCAGTGTTTAATTATATTAGTCATTGAATGTTTTCCACTCCACTATTCATCTCTCTCCTTTCATTTTTCACCCGACTTGAATAATATAATTTATCACGCCACTTAAGTTAATACTTCCAAAATTAATACAAAATATGCAGCCGGCTCTGCAGCTGTGTTTTTATGTAGCACCAACACGGAGGATAAAAACTGTAGGTAATGCAGAATGAGAAGGTGCTAGGTTCGTCAGATTAAGTCAGGATGACCTCCTTATATGAATATGCCAGAGTTTTCCATCGCCGCTGTGACGCCGTAACATGCCACAGACCTCAAGGAGTCACTACCAAGTGATGTCACCACAGAAGTAGTTCAGTGCTTTTGGCGTTGCACAACTGTTTGCTTCTGCAGTTATTCTGGGAAGTTGCACCAGAGGCCGAGTCCCCCAATCACTATCTGTGTCCACTCAGACACAAGAATCCACTCGAGTATTTTGGTCCTCAGATATCAGTTTCAAGGATAAGATAACGGAGAAATGTTTACTGTATAAACATGAAGTATTGGGTTTTTTTGTGTGACACTTGATGAACAAATGTGCTCTTTGGCATCAGTTGCAAACAAGATGAAAGAAAAAACAAGGCACTCGGAGTCCTAAGTGTATCAGATGAGTGAACTCCAGAGGTTTAGGGGAGCTGTCGCGGTTCATTATATGTTTATAGCAAAAACCCCTCAAGGAGACCAGGATAAACACATACTTGAAGTAGCATACAGAAGCATAGTTGAAAGCATTTTATCATTTACAGCATGGAACAGCCACCTGAGTGCAAAGAGCAAAAACAAGTTTTCCAAGATTGTCACATTGCAGGGAAGGTGATTGGCAAGTCACAGAAACAACTCAATGTAATTGATGTATCTGACAGTGCTACGCGCAGGTAGGCCAAATGCTTCATGAATGCTGATGCCTCACATCCATTACACTTAGAGTCTGAGCTGCTCCCATATGGGCGTTGATTTAGGGTCCCCAGAACCAGTCGCAACATATATAAGAGGTCCTTTATTCTCTATGCCATAAAGGCAATGAATACAGACTGACTATATTAGGAAACACTAGTATTTTTATTAGATGTTCTTTCTTTTAGTATTTATAAAACGTATTGCTCCTACCTGCCTGTTTGCACTGTTGTATCATATATATGGTTAAACTGTGCGTTTTCATTGGTGTATGGTGTTATGAGTTTGTATGTACCTCTGATTTTTGGGAGAAGCCAAAGACAAATTTCCACCAAGGTGGACAATAAAGTATCCATCCATCCATCCATCCATCCATCCATCCATCCAAACCAACCAACCAACCAACCAACCTACCAGCCTACCAACCTACCAACCAACCTACCATCCATCCATCCATCCATCCAAACAACCAACCAACCAACCAACCAACCTACCAACCAACCTACCATCCATCCAGCCAGCCAGCCAAACCAACCGACCAGCCTACCAACCTACCAGCCAGCCAGCCAGCCAACCAACCAACCAACCAACCAACCAACCAACCAACCTACCAACCAGCCTACCATCCATCCATCCATCCATCATCCATCCATCCTGCCTACCAACCTACCAACCGATCGACCGACCGACCGACCAGCCTACCTACCAACCAACCAACCAACCAACCAACCAACCAACCAACCTACCAGCCATCCATCCATCCAGCCATTCATCCATCCAGCCATCCAGCCATTCATCCATCCATCCAGCCATCCATCCATCCATCCAGCCATCCAGCCAACCAGCCATCCATCCAGCCATCCATCCAGCCATCCATCCATCCATCCAGCCAGCCAGCCAGCCAGCCATCCATCCATCCAGCCATCCATCCATCCATCCATCCAGCCATCCATCCATCCAGCCAGCCAGCCAGCCATCCATCCATCCAGCCAGCCAGCCAGCCATCCATCCATCCAGCCATCCATCCATCCATCCATCCAGCCATTCATCCATCCATCCATCCAGCCATCCAGCCATCCATCCATCCATCCATCCAGCCATCCAGCCAGCCAGCCAGCCAGCCAGCCAGCCAGCCAGCCATCCATCAGCCATTCATCCATCCATCCATCATCCATCCAGCCATCCAGCCATCCATCCATCCATTCAGCCAGCCATCCAGCCATCCATCCATCCATCCAGCCAGCCAGCCAGCCAGCCATCCATCCATCCATTCAGCCATCCATCCAGCCAGCCAGCCATCCATCCAGCCAGCCAGCCAGCCATCCATCCAGCCATTCATCCATCCATCCATCCATTCAGCCAGCCATCCAGCCATTATTATTTTTACAGATACTGCGATTGAGATAAGAGTTGCAGTTTTAGTAGGAATGTTAATTTTTGTTGTTGTTGTTGTTGTCAGTTTTCAGTAAAAATAATAACAATGATATGATTTATGCTGTGGTCTGCACCAAACAAGCATGTTCTCTTATGTCTGGAATATTATCTGTAGGCTGGGGCATCTCTGTAGCACCACAGTGAAGCTGATGGGATTTGGATACTGCGCTTGGCCAAAGTTCAATTTTGATAATATTCCAGTAAACTGTGCAGCCCTTATTTCCTCTACATTCGTGATATGCATTAAAGAACCTGTCTTCAGTCACACACTCATTTCAGTCCAAAGCTGACTGACTGTCTTACTAACCTCCTCGGATGTAAGAGTGAAACCTGACCTTGGTGTTCCTTGTTTTGTCTCTTGTCATCGCTGCCTGAAGGTGGACATGTTCTCCTATGGGATGGTGCTGTATGAGCTGCTGTCTGGGCGGAGGCCGGTGCTGGGACACCACCAGCTTCAGATAGCGAAGAAGCTCTCCAAAGGCATCCGGCCGGCTCTGGGCAGCCCAGAGGAGGTTCAGTTCTACTGCCTCCACAGCCTGCTGACCGAGTGCTGGGACACCAAGCCCGAGAAGGTGAGCTGAGAATCCTGCTTCTTCACACAGTTTGATGTGACTGACGCAGTGACTGATCAAAATCACACAAGTTTCCCTCTCTGTGCTGCTTTGTAGGAAATAGAGTGATTAACTGCACCACTCACAGTGTGGTTAGGGTAGTGGTTAAACTGCTCCTTGTCACATGGGACACAATCTCGGATTACATCGGTTATTGTTCTGACAATTATTACGTCTCTGGTGGCAACAGCCAGTATTTCAGTGGTTTGAGTATAGCCCACGGATATCCAGACTGACACTTCCTCTTCTGAGCGCCAATCAGTGTTTACAGTTCAATTAAAAACCTGAGAGAGGTCCAAACAATGTTTTGGCTAATCTCTATGAACAGATATCTGCTTATGGATGCTGATAAATGAGTAAAGAGCTAATTAAAAGCTAACTCATCATCAGAAGATAGCAGATGGGCGCTGAGATTGTATTTGGCCTATGTGTTCCTTCTCTTTTGCTCTCCATATGGACTGTTTACCTGCAGGCAACCAAAGCCCACTCAAACTTGATTTGTCAATACTACGCTGACTACAAATGGAAACCAAAATGCTTCTCATACCAAAGTCTTGTCTCATTTCCATATGCACACATATGCAGATATCTGCTTATAGAGATTACACTGGACAGTGTGAACCTTCCCACACCGTCCCACACTAGCTCCTCACTGGCAGGTAAAAGACAACGCGACTGGCAGCATCAGGGAGGAAGCATTTCTGTCCGCAGCCCTCCACAGAACAGTATGAGCAGATAACTTGAAGACTGCTGTGCAGAAGGAACTATAAGTTAGGCATAAAGTGGCAGCTAAAGGTGAGAGGTGAAGAGGTGGTGTCACCCTCTTCCCTTTGCCATGGCTTCCTCCAGTGATGGATAATGCTCCCTGTATCGCTCTGATGTGTTGTCGTATTTGCCATTCAGCATCTCCTAATCTATTTTCTGCTGCCTTGGCTGCCTTATACTTGTGAGTTACTTTCAATAACACTTACCTCGTCATCGGTTGAGGCATTAAAGTCTAATGATTTGCCATTGCTGTTCTTCCTCTGTAGTGGGATGTTTTCTGTAACTAAACAGCCAACAGCAAAGTAGACAATCTGCTTCCTGTATTAGTTTGGATTTAGCCTGAGTCAAATGATATCAGCTCTTGCCTCAGGAAAAAAAAAAAATCAGACAGCAGATTAATGTTCTCCCTCTGTGCGTGTGTCTGTGTTTGTGTGTGTGTTTGTGTCTGTGTGCACAGAGGCCGTTGGCCATTCAGTGTGTGAGGCAGATGCAGGAGCCCAGCTTCCCCTGCCTCAGGTATATGCTGTCCTGTGACATCCACTCGCAGCTCTTCCTGTCCCAGCTGCAGGGACACAGCGCAGTGTTCTGGAGCGGAGACAAAGATAACAGGTTTGTTTCAACTCTTCAGTTTGCTTTTAACATTCATTCATTCATTCATTCATTTTTCGTAACCACTTATCCTCTTAGGGGTCATGGGGGGCTGGAGCCTATCCCAGCTGACATTAGGCGAGAGGCAGGGTTCACTCTGGACAGGTCACCAGACTATCACAGGGCTGACACATAGAGACAGACAACCATTCACACTCACATTCACACCTACGGACAATTTAGAGTCACCAATTAACCTGCATGTCTTTGGACTGTGGGAGGAAGCTGGAGCACCTGGAGGAAACCCACACTGACACAGGGAGAACATGCAAACTCCACTGTTTGTGGGCTAATAACATGCATGGAAAAAACAAGAACACTTTTTTAGTCCTACACACCTAATTTTGAACCGTTCTGAGCATTTTGACCAAAAAATAAATTGGTTCAGAATCTGAAAAGTTGGTTTGCAGCTGGAACCAAAAACTAGCAGGCTTTCCTTGACTTTCAGTGCCAACCCTGAGGAAGTCAGTGGGCATGTCATATGCTACAGGTTGGAAATAGGCGATGGGGTCTTGCACGTTATATTGTCTTCATCTTCTCATCATTAATAGTGCCGTGCTTGTTTTTGTGCAGAAACAAATATCTGTAATAACAGAACAAAAGTTTGCAGGTAATCAGAGCAACACCGTCTTGCTACCACTTTTTACTTCCTTTGTACATTATGCAGTGGCCCCTGTTGATGACAGATCCTTGATTACAACGACTCTGCTCAACACTAATGGAAACACGGGCGGGTTCATTACATCAGTGGCTCCCATCTAGTGGGTCGAGGTCTAAAAGTGGGTCGTGGGTCCATTCTGAATGGACCGCAAGTGACTTGTGAACATGTCAGCTTTGTAAAAAACACACTTTACACTTTACATCTACCTCTGTAGAGTGAGTATATAACGAACAGCTATTTAACAGACAGCAAATTAGCTTGAGACATGGCCAAACACAAGCATGATGCTGAATATATTGAACTGTGTGGACTCCAAGAATCCTGAGTGGAAGCGGTTCAAGAATCAGAGCCAATTTGGTGAAAAAGCAGTTAATAAGTGCTCTGCATGCATTTTAACTACATCAACTATTACTAAGCATTAATATAAATATGTAACATTTTGCAGTCAACACTTTAGAGCTGTGGTTCTCCTCAGAGATGTCACTGAAATGGACAGAAATAGAGAATCTGCCTTGATTGATCGAGATTCTGAGGATCAGCTCTCTGATATGAACTGATAAGTTTATTAAAAATAATATTTGGTCTTGTGAGTGAGATCCACAGTCTCCTTATCTAAGGTTTCTGCTGGTCTTTCTTCATTTTAACAACAATAATGTATCATATGAAACACAATAAGGAGCTGCTATCTTTGTGAATGTTTTAATAAATCTAGTACGGGGCACGGCAGTGGTCAAAGCCTACAGCACTGCATCCTCAAACTGCTGTTAATGTCCTTCAGTCCAGGCAGCACAGTGACTTGTGTCCATACTTTCTAACCTTGAGACTTCACTCAGATATAAAGGATTGTGAAGCCTTAGCAGAGGTCTGGGCGTCCTTTGAGTTTCAGACACTTTGTTTAATGCATTCTGGTGACTTAAAGAATGAAAATAACAAAAAAGTGCACTGCATCAGTGTTTTTATGTTAAATACATTTAATTTAGTTGAGACTTTGATGACACTGGTACTCTAGAGGCAGGGAGGCCAGACTGTAGGCTTGGCCCGCACCAGAGTCCCAGAGCCAGCTGTCCTACCTGGCCCACACACTCCTGGGTCCTGGTTGCATAAGTGAGGCAGAAAGGGTTGCTCACGGTTTCTGGAACACAGCTAGGTACACCGCCACGGTTGAAAAGGGCAAGCAAGATCCCCACTCACCCCTTAAGTAACCCTCAAACCCCAAGTAGAGCACTCTGTCGGACTTAGACACGCATAACACAGACAACACAAGCTCTTTTTACTCAAAGATCAAGCCATAGGGCTGCTGCAAAGTCCCTTCTTTACGTTGGCTTTTCATTTTTACACAGAACCAAATGATGGCGGCGGCATCATGCCTCTCCGGTGTATCATTTTAGACAGCATGCCAGCATTGTGGAAGTAAAAGAGGTGTAACAGGCATGACGTGTAATACATTAGTGTCTGCCTCTAGTGTGACATAAACCATATGCGTTGGCAGCACTTAATAAATAGGAACAATTGAATTAACATGGCAATAATAATCAATTACCGTCCCTGTTATATGGTGGCTGATCTCTCCATCTGCTCAGAGGTTAAGGAGCTCCTAGACCTCATTGTTTTACCAGTTTTCTTACATTTTCAGCTGCTGTTCTTATGATTAGATATACTTTATTGTCCCCGCAGGGAAATTTGTCTTGGACTCAGGAGCTGCACAAGTATTGCAGCCTTACAATTATAGTCCAGAAGAAATGAAAAGCATGCACCATAAAATACATACTACACATAACAGTATTGCAGTATATCAAGCAGCATTATTTAAAATCTTAATTGAGGTTGGCACAAATGAATTTTTAAAACGATTTAGTTTAAATTTGGGCGTCCTGTGTCGTCTGCCCGAGGGTAAAAGCTCGTACTCAGTGTGGAGAATGAGGAAAGACTCAGACAATATCCTCCGTGCTTGTCTGAGAACAGACTGCTCGTACAGCGTCTGGAGGGATTGGTGTTGCTTCCTCCCCTTGACCTTCATGGCTGTCTGAACCAGACGAGCAAGTTTGGATTTTAACTCCACAGTCAGATTTTCAAACCATGCTGACATACCGAACCTGACAACACTCTAGAACAGCCTGATAAAAAAAACATGATCCCAAAGTCTTCTTAAGAAAACAGCCTTTCAGTGTGGACCCTCCAGCTAAGGCTACTGTCCAGGTGGATGCTGAGGTGCTTGTAGGAGCACACCTGATTTATTTGTTTGTAATGATTGATGACTGGACTCTGATCCCCCACTGACCTGGGGTCCAAAACCATCTCCTCATTTTTCCCTGGTGTTTAAAACTAGGTAGTTGGCGTCACACCACTGCACAAACATGTCTATTTCATCGAAATAGGCCGAAGGACTTTCATCCTTTTGCAGGAGACTGAGAATGGCAGTGTCATCTGAAAATTTAAAATATGGTGCCCTGAGTTGCCTTTCTTGGGGTGCTTTCAGACCTAGAGTTGTCTCCTTTGGTTCAAAGCAGGAACTTATTTTGTCACAGACTTGTATAATTACCTAGAGTTGGTTCGTGTTCTCACAGCAGCATTTACAAGCGGACCAGATCAAATGCCTTGTGTGAGAAAGCTGCTCTTGATTGGTCAGAATTTCCATGTGGGAAAAATCCAGGAAGTAAAGCAAACGTTGAAGAAGAGTACACTTGCAAGATAAATGTGACACTTTCTAATGTCACAATGGAGGGACAACTACGCAGGTTGATTTTAGCGCTGCTCATCGTGGACTATATTGCTGTCATTGTTCATTTTAGTCAAACCATACAGTTTGAAAATGAGGCGCGGCTCCAACTAGAAAACAATGTTTTGATGCATTGGATGTGCTGAATGTGCATATTAAGGCAGTACAGGAGGAGGTGCACATTAATAATCCTCCAGGACTGTAACATGCTCATGTTTAACCCAAACAATGTGTCATGTGACTGCAGTTGGTTCACATCCAGGTCGGAAAACCTTCTCAACACAAACCACCCGCACCAGAGTTCATATGTAACTGGACTGAGGCCACCTCTTCAAGAAGGTCTCAGTCCGGTTGTTATGGTGCACACCTGAGTGTGATTGCTGTGTTCACGCCTGCCCAAACGAACCACACTTACAGGGCAAACAAACTTGAACCTTACAGTCATTAGTGTATAGCTTTTCTTGGAGTTAGCTGCTAACTGCTAACAACTGCTTTTTAAACCTCCTGGCAGTGGGTCACACAAATAATACGTCGTCAGAGCGTCACACCCATGCCATTCATGGTCCCATCCTGCAGGTGACCCTTTTACACAGAGCTTGATTGTGTACTGTTTTGAGTTCCACTGCCTGCTTACAGGCAAGGCAACTCTGTTCCCCCATTTCTGGATCATAATTCCTATACAGAACGGCAGGGTGGCATAATGGTGTAAAATACCCGCCTTGGAGAGGCAGTATACAGGGTGTCTGCAGATCCTTAAACAGTCTTAACATGTCTTAAAGTCTAAAAAGTCATTAAATAGTCTTAAATTAAAAATTAACAAAACAATGAAAATCTGAATGTATGAGGTCTTAATTGCCACAAATATCTCATTTAATTTATCCATTTTCAGTTTCTTTTTGTTAAAATGAGTCAAGCTTTTCTGCATGAAAGTCCACATTTCTGATGTTTAAAATCTTTAAACCTACCACTGAACCCAAAACTATATTTTTACTTAATGCTTGCACTTACCTGTCGGCAAAATGTAGATTAACCCAACTCACTCTCCATATTTCTACATAAAACCTACCTCTGCTCGGGACCATATTTTCCATTATCCTGACCTGCAAGGCTTAAATAAGAAAAAGAGTATTTGTCCGAAAAATCAGTCTTAAATTTGGCGAAAAATAATCTTGAAAAGGTTAAAAAAAAAGCATTAAGTTTAAGTGTTTGACACCTCTAGACACCCTGATATAAAAGGAGCTAATTAGTACACTTTAACAGTCGCAGGGCTTTTGCACACTGTACAGTTGTAGAAACAGCTTGTGATAATGAAAAAAGAAAAAAAAAAGAGTGAAAATTTGTTATAAATTAGGAGAAATAAGGGAGACTTGTGACCCCAGGAGGAAACCCATAGAGGGCAATAAAAAAACTGTAAGGTTGGCAGGTATGCTCGTCCCCTCGGAGCCTTTACCGTCGGCCCACCGTCTCACTGCAGCTCATTAACTCAGAGGAAGATGACCTCACTTTTTCTCAGACCTTCTTAGACCACGACTCAGGACTCGAGGGAACTACCAAAGTGTCTGATTTTCATTTTGTCTCCACGAAACTAGTTTAATAAGTGTATATATATACACACATGCAGTATAAATCTTACAGCTCACAGGTAGAGGCTTATACACCACGGTAATCACACACACCGCTGAGTCCCAGGTGTCTGATGTAAAAGCTCTATTGTCTTTGTGGCAGCAGGATTCCAGGTTAATCTCTGCACAATAAAAGCAGCTTTCATCCCTTCATACAGGTGGTGTTAATGACTGCTGCTGACTCCTCTAGACTTCTTCCTGCCGTTAACCCCGTCACTGTGATAAGACCTCGTTTGCCCCCCTCCCCCGACTCTCCCACGGCCTTGAACAGACCTGATGACCTGGGAACTGGCTGTGGGAGGCAGCGGACAATCACCTCCAGTTATTTAAACAGTGTCCGCACTAGCCCATGCAGATAAAAGTCTTTGAGTGTTGACCTTCCACCCACGCTAAGCTGGTGCAGCACGCTCCTTACCAAATGAGGGCGTGCATGCTCCATTTACCTGTTTGCAGACAGTCAGTTAACTTAAATAAGAGATAAGACGATGTGCCAGTGTCTGTCTGCATCACTGTGGACATGGCCTGAGTGTGTGTGAAGTGCTTTTCTGTTCTCTCTGACACTTTCAATATTAATGCATGGCCCTTTGTAGAGTCACTATTTTAATACAGCATACTTTAAATTGTTGATAACATGATATTGGATCAGATGAGACTTTATTGATCCCCTGTGGTGAAATTTGCAGTTCATGAAATAAAAGAAAGGAGTGACAGACATTAAAAATCTGAGCTTTACACATTACCAGGATCTTTTTTCTCATGTTATACTGCATGTTACATATTGTCCTCTCTCCCATCATATAAACACACACATAGAATGGATCACCTGAAATGAATACAAAGCTAGAAGATAAGTAACCTTTCACTGAAAAAAAGGGAGTCAAATGTTCACAGTGATGACATTTAAAGTAAAACCCCATCATGCTCTCTCTAAAGTTTTTACTGTCGAGGCTTCCCACAGTTTAATAATGACACTTTGTCTAAAATAAAAACTGCCCCAGCTAACGTCAGAATAAATGATTACTTTTTTTCAAATGTTAACCTTCAAGGAGTGAACCGAATCCAAGAGGAAGACGTGACACAGATGTTCCGACAACCACTTAAATCCCTAATTTAACCCAATTATCTTGACCACTTATCTTAAAGTGAAGCCAAAGTGAACACATCTAAAATGCCTCTTCAAACAGTCGTCCTTTGTACTGTTGAACTGTGTGGACGCACAGCTGTGGTCAGTGTGACTAATATTCAACTTTATTTTAGTGTCCAACTCAGAGAAAATGCCTACACCTATCTGATGCCTTGTGTCACATGCACCGCCACGTGAGAGCTGATGCATCACCACATCTCAGCAATGAAACTGACTCATACATTTTTAATATTGTTAATTAGATGGCAAAACTACCGAAGTAAGATCAAGGCTGTGTGATTGAACCATCTTCTAGTTTTATCCAAAGCAGCTACAGTGTGTGAGTGTGTGTGTGGTCATCTCTGTGTATCGCTGTGTGTGTCTTGTAGGAACTACAGTGTGATGAACGTGGAGAAGGGCCAGGTGGAGGTGAAGAGGATGCTGTGTGCAGGCAGCAGGATCAGCTGTCAGATGAAGATGGGGAACGTTCTGTGGATGGCTACTGAGGTACACGCCACCTCAAATCACACTCACCATCTGCATGCAGATAGTTATGTCTTCACATAGCACAGTGCTGGTTCTGTTTGAGGTTCAGAGGTTAAGATGACCCGGTCATACATGTGCTGTTTAGCAACACTTTATCTCACAGTTGGGACTCAAATATTCGGGAAAACACTTGAGTTTGGATTTTTCTAATTCCCTCAACAATCAACAACTTAATAATGTGGTAAACAGGATCTCTCCCTGACGTGTCGTATGTCCAGAGTTTTGTGCAAAATGTGTTGGTTAGTGTGTAATACTGGTGTGTGTTTGTGTGACAGGAGCAGGAAGTTTTCATCTACAGCCTGAAGGACATGTGTCCCCTCAGTCAACCCCAGAAACAGTTCTCATGTCCAGCCGTCATCACCTGCCTGTTTCCTGTTCCAGTGAGAGAACAGGTCAGCTCACGTCTCAGCACACACACACACACACACACGCACACAGAGAGAAGCAGGGTTTTTTTTTTTATCATTTGTGCACATAAATCACTCATTTGTTCCAGCACCTCCCAAATAACCATTTGTACTGTATATCAGTTACTCGCCCAGTGTTGCATCACATTTGTGAAGAAAACTTTTTTGTCTCGCATGCCTTCATGGTAAACGAAGAATCTAAAAACAGAGAAAATTCTTGATGAATTGAAGTAAATGGGGTCCATGTTTAATGACAGTAAAACTGTATCAAAACATCTGTTTACAAACACTCACAAAACGTGTGCAGTATAAGCCAGGTCTCAGTACTTCCCAAAACCTCGGCCCTCTCTAATGGGTAGCTGATCGGAAAGTGAAACTTATCTAATCTCACTTTGAAGCCAGACTCTGTTGACAAAAACAGTAATTTTACCTCGCTGAACACAGGAGCTGCTGGTCTACCACTGCCTCCATCAGTTAGTGTGTATTATTGTGTGGTTTACATTGCAGAGAAATACAAAACCGTACTAATGAACCTTCATTAATATAGGCCTATATTTTATCTCCAAGTGCACGTCACACACTGAGCGAGCCGCCTGTTAATGACGCTGTGTGCTAATGGGCATGTAGCTACTTCCATGTTTCACATGATACGTCATGTTTGTAGTCGACCAATGAAGATGAGTTTACATATCACCTTGGGTTCGTCCTTCACCTTCTCAAAATGATCCCACACTTTGGATTTCCTGCCCGACATGTTATTAACTAGCCTGTGGAATAACCGCAGGTACCAGCCCTGGAGATTAACCTGACTCCTGTCTGACTGCTAAGCGTGAACACTTCCTGTGTCTGTCCTTTCAAAGTAAATTCCCACATGGTCCAGTCATAAAGGTTTGGATTTATTTTGACAAGTCACAGCTCCTAATAGATTTTCACATTTGTTTTGTTTTTCTGCGACTAAAGCAACCAATGAAATCTTGCCGACTAATGACCTTTCTGGTCGACTAACGTTCGGTCATATCAGGGGGCAGCCCTACTTGAGTATATGATTTATTTCAACACAAATCTGAAATCAGAGTAGACTTTGGTACATCATGTATGCATCAACACATTCATATGTCCTTTAACTGTCTTGTATAGCACATATGAGATCTGAATAAGTATTTTACAGGACAGAACTAGTTTGCACACATGATATAATGAATAGAACACATTGTCAAGGTTTTTCTTATCAAGGCCAGTGGATAGCCTGCAGCTCCCACACAAAGTTGGCCACAAGTGAAGGTCATTGTGATCCCTTGTGTTACCTAATCATAACACAGATGAAACCATCCATTGTCTCTACATTGCAAATCCTTCACTTAATCCATTTCTCTAATACAGTTTGTTCATTTTCACCATAATGTGTCGACTGATAGTGCAGAGCTATAGCTGCTCACTTTCAGCAGTGATGCTTCTTACTGTGGGGCTTTGCTGTGATTTGTGCACATCACTGATTTTACATACCGTCTAGACTACAGCAGCACAAAGTTCAATACACAGAGAAATGCATGATATTGGATTTTCCGATATTTTCCAACTCATTTTGGCTGAATCCAGACATCAATACATGCACGTTTTATTTTTTTCCACCTAGTTGCAGAGAACATCAAGTCTCTGCTGCGGCAAAATTAACATATTATTATTCTTACTCTTGTCATAACGGCTCGCTGGCAGACGCAGACATAAAATGCAATGCTTTTCAAAATGTGCACGTTCACTTGGTAAAATAAGGGAACTACTTAAACTCAGGTTAAAACACGTCATGTTTATTTATATGTAACATTTTGGGGCGGCAGTAGCTCAGTCCATAGGGACCTGGGTTGTGAACAGGAGGGTCGCTGGTTTAAGTCCCTGTCTGAACCAAGTATGGTGTGTGGACTTGTAGCTGGAGAGGCGCCAGTTTGCCTCATGGGCACTGCTGAGGTGCCCTTGGCACTGCAAGCAAGGCACTGAACCCCCAGCTGCTCAGGGTGCCTGTCCAAGGCAGCCTCCTAACTCTGACATCCCTCCATTAAATGCATGTATAGGTCCTGTTTGTGCATGTGTTTATTTTTCGGGCCTGTGTGTTGACAGAGTGGAAAAAATTTTATTTCCTCTCGGAGATTAATAAAGTATATCGTCTTCTTCAAAACTGTAAAATTCATCCCACTTTAACAGGTTTCGATGACACTCTCCCTGAGATCATCCTGACAGAAGCAACAACTGAGGCAAATGAACCTGTTTTGGCTAAAGTCACATCTTATCAGCCTGTCACATCGGCAGACATGTTCATTTTGGGCCGGCGCCGATATTTCATTTTCAAGCCTTTATCTGCCGAAACTGATGGCATGCTGATATAATCTTGCACACCCACCTGTAATACATTTATCACTTAATTATTATTTCGTATGAAGAAAGAAATTAAATCTTTTCATTAAATCAGGGAATGTGTGCACAATAAAAAAAAAAAGATGTTTTCCCCTCCAGCATTGGGCACCTTGTAAACTCAATAATCAGACTGCTTGTATTTTTTCTTTCATTCCAGCTGCACAGATTAATAAACGAGTATCCAGCAAAGGGCTTTACAAACAGCACGTGTGCAAATAAGAGTTCCAGCTAAACATCTAGTGCATTGTTAGAGTAGAAAAACAGGCTGCAGCAGTTTTCTCAAACAAATCATAAAACTGAGTGGATTCCTTCCATGCTCACAAGTGTCATTAATTAAGGCTCAAACAGGAAAATCACATTTAAAATCAGTGAAAGAAAAGAAACACTGTGCTCCCTTTATTTCATTACTTTTAACTCTCCACATGACAAGCACCACAAAACACTGTAGCTCTGTCTGTACTGCTCATATCTGAGTAAATAAAACCCAGAAACACTTCTTGGCCACGCAGAGTCAAGCCATGGCACGTCGCTTTGCATTTCCATAGTCAGTTTAGACACGCTGTGCCATGCCAAGCTGCACCAGACATGGATTTTCTCAGTCCACTTCTTCACAGGGGACTTTAGCCATGGATTGGCACTCTGCTTTTACAAGTCATCAACCAAGACAAGCCATCATCAGTTAAAGACAAACCTTCAGGCAAGTAGCCCTGTTGTAATGGAAGTGCAAATCCCTGCTGCGCTGGCCTGGATTTCTCAAACCAAACTAAATCAAGCCAGCCCATAACTGTCAAAAAAGGGTATTTGTCTGGATGCAGAAAAGCTGTCACTTACAGATAAAGCTGGTAATGTGACGTACACACATGTGAAAAGTCTTTACATGGAGCGGTACTTGAACATGCATCCAGTTTTTTCCGAATTCCTCGACATGCCATTAGTGTTCGTTTAGGTGAAATTACAGAGACATTAACAGGTGGGAGGTCGACAGTTTTAGTACAGCAGGTAATAACAGCATACTAATGGCTTAACAGCAGCTCACAATTACCTTCAAACATCTCACTGCCAGTAGCACTGCTGTGAGTGTCAGGCACCAAACAATACCTTTATGATGTGTACTTCTGCTCCCCTCTGACCTCTGACCTGCTGTCTGTTCACCCATCTACACATAACGGCTCTGCACCCTCAGTACTCTTTGAAGTGGAGCTGGTAGAAAATCCAGGTGTTCGTAGGGTGGTGGGTGGTGCTGGGAGGGGATCAGCCTGTAGTGACTGGTATCACTGAGTAGGATGAACTGTGATCGTGTTTTTGTGTGTGAAGAAGAATTTGATGGTTAAAGGCCAAGGTCACTGTGACCTTTTGTACATCTCATTCTGATAAATGCAATATCTAAAGAACAACTTGAGGGAATTTCTTCCAATTTTGCACAGATGGCCACTTGAACTCAACAATGAGCTGATTACATTTTGGTGGTCATAGGTCAAAGGTCAAGATCACTGTGACCTCATCAGTCTCATTCTCATGAACAATATCTCAAGAATACCTTGAGGGAATTTTTCCAGATTTGCCACAAACATCTACTTTGAGTTGAGGATGAACTAATAAGATTTTGGTGGTCAGAGATCAGGGTTACTGTGACCTTGCATCTGTCACATCTCGTGAACGCAATATTTCAAGAATACCTTGAGGGAATTTCTTCAAATTTTAGCTCAAATGTTCACTTGGACTTTAAGAATAAACTGATTTGAATTTGGTGGTCAGCAGTCAAAGGTCAAGGTCACTGTGACCTCGCAAAACATGTTTTTGACCATACCTTAAGAATTTGTATGCTCATTATGACAAAATTTCACAGAAATGTCAAATAGGATAAAAAAAATGAGTAATGAAGTGAGGTCAAAGGTCACCTTCACTGTGATGTCATAATATTCTGCAAAAACACTTTCCTTTCATTACTCAGCATCATATTTCAGGAACAGAAGACATTTGTTCAGATACTGAAAAACTGTAGCTGCAACTTGACAGGTTGGTGGAGGCATATGACTGCAAGGCATTAATTCTATTAATTCACATTACACTGCAGTATAGAGAAATAGGCGTCACAGCAGTACAGGAAATATTGTAATGATGTGGGAAACAGACAGAGGACACAGGACTGAACAGGCTTCTGAAAGAACATGTAGACAGTGGCACACAAATACTTTTAATTGCAAGAGTCTCAGAATGTAAAATGATTAATTAAATCTGAATCACCTGTGAAGAGCCTGGCCAGAGTGTTTGCGGGGATGTCTGACGGCCTGGTGGCGGTGTACAGCCTGGTGGAGGACGTTCCCCTGGAGGGAGAGACCTACCTGTGTTCACACACTCTCAACAAGACGTTGTTTGCTCTGAAGGACACAGATCCCAGGCAGAGACCCTACCCAGTCAAGAGCATGGCACTGGTCAATAGCGGCTCCCAGGTGAGGAGATACTCAGTCACAAGTGTTTGATAAGTCACAAAGAAGATAACATGACGTTGAGATAACCTGTTCTCACGATCCTCACTGTGTCACCCTCGTCCCTCTCCTCGTCCCTGTCTGTGGTTGTCATCAGTTATGGTTCTCCAACGGCCCAGGCGTGCTGGTCATCGACTGTCTGAGTCTACAGGCAGTTCGAAGGTTGGAGCCCTACAACCCGCCATCCTCCATCGTATCCATGGCAACCAGCTTCAGTCTATGGGGAGAGGAGGCCGTCTGGACCCTGGACGACCACATGAACACTCTGCTGCTCTACCACGCTGCCTCCTACCAGCTCTGCGCCAAGTACTGGTGAGTGGATTTGTGACTGTTCTGAAGAACAATTGTTTCTATAAACACTTCAGTCTGTGACAGGCGCGGAAAAGATGTGGCAGACATCTTTTGTTCTGAAGATCCAAAGAAATGAATTCTTTGAGTACCTGAAAAAGTGTCATTCCCTGGAGAATCGTGAATCAGTAAGTAAACAGTGTCAGGCAGGCTGATATTATTATACTGCATATTATTACTGGCTGATTTTGGCACACAATATATGTGAACTGATTGGCGCAGAAATTCCAAAGTTATGTTTTGAGTCTATTTAGAAATGGTGTCTTAATTACAATTTAAACTGCAGTTTGACTCATGCTCACAGTACAGTCGTGAGGAGAAACTCACACTGGCTCAGCCTGAGGTGAAGCTAAGCCTGAAAATAAGCCTGGTTTAAATGGTTTAACTGGTAAACTTGCTTAATCAAACACTCCACAGGGCCGTAGGGCAGTTTGAGCTAGCTGTTTCCTCCTGGTTCCAGTCTTGGTGCTAAGCTAAGCTAACCAGCTGCTGGCTGTAGCTTTATATTAACAGCACACACATGAGAATGGTATCAGAGTTCTCAAGGGCACTTTCAAAGCTATAGTTAGGCAGACTCGGTGCAATGTGGGAGTGAAGTTGCATTTTTCATTTGGTTCAGTTAGTGTTCACGATGCACTTTATCAAGCGCACCAAACATTCATTCGTCATTCGTCTATCGGACAGAATATCTATGTGAAACTCGCTGACATTTCCCGGTCTCAGAAATAATGGAACCACCAAGTTTATATGGTCTTAGGTTTCTAGCTTTGCTCTGGTGTTTCTATCAGTCACATATTTTGGAAGAATGTGATCAATATTAGCAGCTGACAAGACAGAGAGTTCTCAAGCCTTTCATTCTTCAGATGAGACAAGTGAGACAGTACTGAAGGAGAAGACGGGCCCTGATGAGAGAGAGATGATGATGTGTTGTTTGTGTTACACAGACGACTAGTGAGGTTTAGAACATGGCACTCTTAAATACTTGATTCTGATTGGTCAATCAACAAAATTCTCTGGTGTTTATTTCTTGAGGTATCACCGCTGCTCTGCTGCTCCGTTGCTAGGGACGCCATAGCAACCTGTGTCAGTCTGATATCCTGAATATATCCTTCGAATGCATATTGTAGAAATTTGAGTGTTTCTCCAGGGAGTGCAGTTAGCGACAGTGGGAGCGCCATGCCAGTCTAGCTCCGAAACCGAAAGTTTGTCGGACTTAGCAACAGTAAGTAGGCTGCTGTTGCCATGGATACAGAGTACAGACACTTTTTTTTTTTTTTTGCAAATTTTGAATCAACGAAACGTGCTTTTTTATTATTTTGTGTCACATCACTGAATGTTTTAGTAGTAAGCCATGTTCTAAGCATGAAAATGTATAGTGAGCCGGTGACAGTTGAAAAATAACATTTTACATTATCCCTTACATAAGTTATGGATTAGCGCTTTTTTTTTGCTTCAGTTCCTATATTTGTGTCAGAGTGCATTCTCACCTCAAGTGAACCGAACTCTAGCGCACATGAACCAAGACCAACTTTTTCAGACAGACCAAAGTTTAGTTTGGTCTGAATCAGCTATCACACAACCTTAAAAGAACCAGACTTTCCAAGGAAATGCCCCAAGGTGAACGTTTGTCTATATGTCACTGTCAGATTTTTTTCACTGTCAAACATCAGTATTGGTAATAGTGTGAGAAATCAGAATGGACTGGGTTAATGTGTGAGCATCAGTAGGTGACATTTGAGTTACGATTCAGTGATTCAGTGCCATAAATATTTTGTTTGTTGTGCCATCAGTTAAGATTTAAGTGGGTATGTTTTTCTCGAAGTGGTGCTTCACATTGCCACTTTTAATAACAGCCACGGTCTCTGAACATATGCTGAGACATACTGGGTTGATTCAATATATAAGAGTCTGTCCAGTCTTGATTAAAAGCTTTTTTTCACTGTCTGCTTTCCTCTCTTTAGAGTCCACCATGTGAAATTAGTTTTCTCTGACTCTCTCCAACTGTTGTCTCTCCTCTGTGTGTATCTCACTCTCATCAGGATGCTTTTGAAATGCAGAGATTTGATTGACGTGAGTTGATTAAACACATGCAATTGGACTGTGAGTTTCCTGGTTGTTAAACCATGCTACAAACACCTCCCTGGTTAAAATAGACACTTCTGTCAAAAAGTATTTTCAATAATTTATTGCTCATAGGTCAGATAGGACGGTGATTTGGTCTGTACCTGGAGGATAGATAAGGATGGCAGGTTAACGAGGGGGGGACACGTTTTTGTCATTTCGCTAACAAGGGGCACGGCCTCCCCCGTCAGACTGCCTCCTGATGAACACTCCAGCTCAGTCTCTCTGTAACAATGAACACAAGGCAGCGTCCCTCTGGGTGAATAATGTGACACACTGAGAGAATAATGTTCTAAAACCACAGACTGTAGAGAAAAGTAATGTCGATGATGTGTAAAGGGATGTCCCACGCTCCCACTGCTCCATTGCCAGTTCACTGAGCTAGAAAATCTAAAATTTAGCTTCGTCTGATATATGTTGAACCTATAATACAAATATTAGCGTATTATAAACCTGTTTTGGGGACTTATTAAATCCTAAAATGTTAGATTTTCTTCTCCACCTTCAGCTCTCTGGAGGTTTTTCCAGTTTCTCCGTGTGCTGAGGAAGTTTTGTCTTCCTGGAGAGCTGTCACTTGGGAACCAGACGAATCTGCGAGCTCGTGTTTTATTTGCTCTGCGATTTGGTCTGGTGATGTCAACCAGGAGAGTTTGGAAAGATTTCTCATGTGGGTCTGTGAGTCTGTGATACTGAGCTGTATGAATGAACCGAACTTTAGCTGCAGAGCAAAGCAGAAGAGTCTCTGACCTTCCTCATCCATGAATATTTTAAGCAGTCTTTTACCTTTGTTACTTCAGGTTGGCTAGCTAATGCTAATCACAGAGTTTCACACCAACAGTGATGATGTAATATGATGCAATCTGAACCTGTCTGATAGTCACAGCTGACATCGTACGGGTGAGCAGGAGGAAAAAAAGCTATTGAAGCACAATTGATTTGATTTTAAGTGCCTGTTTTCTGACATCTTGACGTGTTTTCAGCTGCGGAGACAGCAACCCTCTTCGGGATGTCTTCACTGTGCAGCGTCCTGCTGGGGTTACCATGGTGACAACCCCTGAACTCAAGACCTCAGATCAGGAAGGGAAGCAGGGATGGACTAACGGAGAAGTGACATTGATCTACAGCGAGGAGGCAGGCACCCAGATCATCCAGCACCAGGATTCACTGACAGACTACTGCTCATTATCATCCAACTGCTCCCTGGAGCCGCTGGGGTCAGACTGTTCCAGCACCGCAGGCCGCGCCTCATTAGACAGCCACAGCAGTGTGCCTCCGCCTGCAGACTGGGAGGAGACGGAGCAGCAGGCATCCACTGGCCCAAAGTCTGACCGAGACACTGCAGAGAGCGTGAAGGCCACGCCACCTCAGCTGAGAGCCTTCACTGTGCTGCCAGTGAGCGGAGCTCTGTGGATCCCCAGGTACAAAACACTGCACACTGAGTGAACCCAAACACATGCACATATTTAATATGAAAAAGTTTTAAACGTACCCACTACATTGTACGATCAGAATTATAAAAACTTGGAATACAAGTTACAGTAGACTGTATAAAAACACGACAACCTACTGGAAAAAATATACATATACATGTGTGGTTGTTTGCAGGCGTGGAGGTGACATGATGGTCATTGAAATGCAGTCACATGGCGATGAGCTGAGGGGGCGTGTCATCGCTGTCCTCAGTCCACCTGGATGTTCGTCTTTGGGGTGAGTTCATGATCTGGGATTTAAATCTGTAAAACTTCGGTTGGTTTGTTTTGCTGCTGGTTTATTTTTGCAGCGCTTTCTTGAATCAGTAAAACAATTACAATATTAAATATTTATTTATTGAGCCAAATATTTATCTCCCAGTTTATCTTCTTTTTTTTATTCCTCCATGCTGGCGACAGCCGCGGCCGGGGGCACGATGTTTTCTGGTTGTCCATCCATCCCATTCTCGTGAATGCGATATCTCAACAACCTTAAGTGAATCCCCTCAAATTTGGCACAAAAGTTCACCTGGACTCAACGGTGAAATGGTTTTGGATGGCCATAGGTTAAAGGTCAAGGTCACTGTGACCTTGTCTTTGACCTTTGAACGTGATATCTTAAGAACATCTTGAGGAAAATTTCTTAAAATTTGGTACAAAGATTCACCTGGACTTGAAGATGAACTGATTTTGGTAGTCAGGGATCCAAGGTCAAGGTCACCATGACCTTTCATCCATCTTAGTCTCGTGAGTGCAGTATTTCAAGAACAGAATTTGGCACGAATGTTCACTTTGACTTAACGATAAACTGATTTGTTTGGTGGTCACTGGTCAAAGGTCAAGTATATGTGACCTCATCTGTGTCATTCCTGTGAACGTGGTGTCTCAAGAATACCTTGCGGGAATTTCAAAGGTCCACTTGGACTCAATGATGAGCTGATTAGTTTTGGGTGGTCATTGGTCAAAGGTCAAGGTCAGTGTAACCTTGATTGTCTCATCATTGTGAACGTGATATCTCTAGACTACCTTGAGGGATTTCTTTACATTTGGCACAAAGGTTGACTTTGACTTTGGGATTAATTGATTGTATTTTAGTGGTCAAAGATCCAAGGTCGCCATGACCTTGCATCTATCTTTTTCTCATGAATGTTTTACTTCAAGAGCAGCTTGAAAGAATTTCTTCAATTTTGGCATGAACGTTCACTTTGACTCAATAATGGTGGTCAAAGGTCAAGTCTATGTGACCTCATCCATCCCATCCTTGTAAATACAATACCTCTATAACACCTTGAGGAAATTTCTTTAAATTTGGCACTCAACAATGTATGGTCAAAGGTGGTCAAAGTTCAAGGTCATTGTGACCTTGCAGCTGTCTTATTCTCGTGATTGTGATATCTCAAGAACACCTTGAGGGAATTTCTTTAAATTTGACACAAACGTCCACTTTGACTGAAGAATAAACAGATCAGAATTTTGTGGTTGAAGGTCAAAGGTCAGAGTGACCTCACAAAATATGTTTTTGGCCATAACTCAAGAATTCATATGTTAATCATGAGAAAACATCACACAGATGCCTAATAGGACAAAATGATGAAGTGATGACATTTTATGTTACACAACATCATATCTCAGGAGCAGAAGGGGAGACATTTGGTCAGATACTGAATTGGTGACACTAATCTTGACACTGTGCTGATTGTATAGATCTTCTGTGTGTGAAGCATCCATGTTTTCACTGACGTGGATGAAAACTGCAAGAGAAACTGGTGCACAGAGGGATACAACCGCAGGACAGTAATTCTAGTTTGAGACTTTATGAGCGTTTTCAAAATGCTCATTTTATTCGGCCAATTTAAACTAACATTTTGGAGATGGCAAGAAAATTTTGTGGAACCATAATATGAGAGACGGTAGTATTTACGGCCTTCATTTCTACGACTTGAATCATTTCACTTTAAAGCAGCCTTGAGGAGCAGGAAGAACCATTTAAAAACAACTATGCTATGGCAGTTTAATAAAGCACACCAGCTCTGTGTGGTAGATACAGTATCACCATGTTCAGTGCAGTAAGTGTCTTTGGTCCTTGATGAAATGTCACAGAGATGAATTAAACACAAACTGGCTGCAGCGCTCCAGAAAAAGTGGTTACTATGAGCCAATCCTGCCCTGAAATAAAACAGCACTGAAAATAGAATCTAAAAACATTTAGCTGCACCGTCCGAACCAGAGGACTTCCTTCAGGGCTGGAAGCTGATCGTCAGCCACCAGAGCAGCAGCAACATGTGATCCACAACAGCAGCAGAGATGACCAAAGGCCTCCAGTATCTGCAGATTATACACTAAAACAACTCATGACAAAAACAACCTCACTATTTAAATGTTAATAAAAATAAACATTTGATTAAGTGATGTTGTCCAGGCTTTAAAATTTCATAGTGTTGCACAATCAGACATTCCCTCAGTTTAATATTTTTTCCAAGTTTTTGCGTCAGCATTTTCCACGACCATTACATTCAGGTCATCAAGACACAGATACTGAGGAAGGGCAGTAGCTCAGTTTAGGACAAGATGTTACAATCCCTTGATTCACACACTGAGACTATGAGTGGGAGTAACGGTGCCATTTGGGGGTTTCCGAGTGGGAGTCAAAGGGTTATTGTAAGATGGATAGAAAATAAGGAAAGAGCATAGGGAAGGCAGAGCCAAGGAGAGACATCTGTGGGACTGAACTCTCCCCCACCAGACTGGGCCGTACATTCTACCTCCCCCTACATCCTTATTTTGGTTGAGTTGAGTTAAACTGGTCAATTGCTGTTTCACATACTTGCAATAGTGAGTTAGTGATACCTCCAGAGGGCTCATCGGCAGCACCTGGTATCCCAGGTGCGCCCCCCTCTACTTTTACTCCCTTGAATCCGGCTGTTGTTGGTGGTATCTCGGGGCCCAAGTGGTGTCTCTCCTCTTAATCCAGAGCCACCGGCTTGCCTGTTCGGCTCAGCCAGAGAGGGCTTTGAGGGCCTGATATAGGAGTAAGAATGTCTTCACACTCACAATAGAGTTTGTCAGGTGAAGTTTAAACATTGAAATAAGACCATGTTTAAGCTTAAAGGCGCTGATAGACCAAGCTGACGGTCGGTCATCGACCAAAGTCGGGCCGTCGGTGAGCGTCTGTCGCCCTAGTTTTTGCGGTGTGTCCCGCACCGTCGGCACTTCGGCGTTGGCGACTTTTCGGCCGATTGAGCATGTTGAATCGCCGGCGGAGCTTGTCGGTGAGAGAGGTCACTCTGATTGGCTGTTCAGGTTTTATTTCCTCACCCTGTAGCGAGTGAATCTGCCTGTAGTGAAACCGGAGCTAACAGGTGTTTCCTCCTCAGGCTCCACTTCACTCAGCTGCCCGACAGACCCGCTGCTTCTTCTCACTTTAACCTGAATAACAAACCGGAGCTAGCTGGGAGCGGCTAGCGTAGCGTTAGCCGCAGCATGACCGGAGGGAAGCACAGCCAGTTAGCCTCCGCTAGCCTTCCAGCTAGCCCCGGCCCTGGTTTGTTATTCAGGTTAAAGTGGGAAGAAGCAGCGGGTTTATCTGGCAGCTGAGTGAAGTGGAGCCTGCGGAGGAAACACCAGGACCATCTGGATGTAATAGTCCATGGAGGTGCTGCGGTGCTCGGCTGCACAGATAGGAAACCCCTCGGTTGACAGGATGTACCACTCTCTCACTCCGCTCTCTCTCACGCAGGTGCAGAACATATGTGCCACTTGGCCGTCGGATGTAGTCCGTGTAGTGTGTTCAAATGGAACTGACACAGGGCGACGTGAGGCGACATAGACGACGCAACAGTTGGCTTTCGTCGCCGCTAGTTCTTTGATTTCGGTTTGGTGTGTCCGCACCTTAAGAAGAAATCTTTTTTTAATAGTATGTTAAAGATAGATAGATAAAGGTCAAACCATACCTTTCACAAACTTACATGAAAAGTTTATATAACCAAGGCAAAGACAAGACAGAAAATAAGATAAAATGAAATACAAGAGGCAGAAGCAACATTATCCTAGAAAGTGCACAGTCACATCAATTTAAGACGTACGGTAAGGCAGCCCACAAATCATCACCTCTGCCAATTTACTCAGTTATCCATCTTTTTTCCCCACTATTTCTCTTTTTTCACCCTTGGGAGCAAACAGATAAAATCCAGCATGAAATAACAACAGTAATAGACAAAGTGTGTATGTGTTTTCACACGTTCCTTTGATTTAAAGTTCTGCAGCAGATGTTGAGAACCAACAGTACAACACCCTCACAGCTGATCCAGCAGATATGTAATAAAAGGTTGCCATACACTGTTAAAACTGTCCTTAGGTCCTTCTAAATCAAACCCTATCCTTTCTAGCTTCAAAAACTGTGATGTATCTCTGACCCAGTGTTTAAAAGGGCGGGTCGCCTGCTTCCAACTAAGTAACATAAGTCTTCTGGCTAAAAGGGTGACAAATGACTGTATCTTACAAAGATGACTGTCTTCACACTGAATACCAAAAATTGCTGTAAGACGATTTGGATCAAATGTTCTTCCACGTATTTTGAAAAGGGCTTAAAAAATGGAGAACCAGTGAACTGAGAGACCCAGGCAAGACCAGAATGTATGAGCTCGAGTTGCAGGGGAACTTTTACATCTATCACAAGCATCATCGACCGAGGGGCACATCTTTGAGATTCTGACTTTAGATGGATGAAGTCTGTGTACTAACCACCTTGAAGTGAATCAGGCTGTGTGTGGCACATATCGAGGAGGTGTGTATCCTTGGGAATATCTGACCACTCAGCATCCGTAAAATGCAGGTTCAGATCAACCTGCTGCGTCTCTCTCAATGCATCAGGTGTTTTAAGTTTTAAATACATAACGGATATTGTGCCTTATCTATCTTTTGTCTGAACACTACATTAAGAAGCTCTTAGCTCTAAGAGCGATCTGGGAAACGCGGCCAGTGACGGTGCATAGCAGCAGTCAGCAGTTGCGCTAGAACGCTACAGTCATCTTCATGCTACCTAGTGCTAAAAGAAAGTCCTGTTTTCATAAAAGGAAAGAGAGAAGGGAGAGAGAGGAGAGGCAAAAGAAAGGGTGTCAATATATGACCCAGGAAAGTATTTGCTGCTCAGACTGGGAATTGGCGATGCCTGCACCGTGCATCACTGATCACCCTGAGTTTACAGCACTACTGACCCATGGTGTTCTGGAGACATTTTTTTACTTCCCCAAAATCAACTGGAAGAAAAGGCAGAGGCCCACAGGACCAGATGGCAGGCTTTCAGAGGAGTAAGTCGTTCATTTCTACCGTAGTTCAGGCGGACAATGGCGTTGGTCCTGGATATGTGGTTACTGTTGTCTCCCCCTGCGGTGCACGTGTCATGTAATGTAAACACTGGTAAGCAAAGCTTGTGCTTTCGCTGGTCTTGCGCAAGCATGCACGCATGAGCGCGGAGCACAGAGAAGCAGTCAGAGCTACAGGCTACATTGAGGCTAAAAACAGAGTTCATATGACGTTTTTCGAAACAACTTTTTATGTCTGGGCTTCAGGACACTTGGATCACTACAGATTGGCATGTTGGAGATATTTTGTGGTTTCAATTTTGTGTTCTTGGACGTTAGTCTGGGGCGCCATCAGCCATTAGGTGTGCTAGCCGCTCCCCCCGCCGATCTCCGCAAGGGATGTGAGGACTCTAAAACTTCACCAGGGTCTCCCTCGTCATGAGGGTGAGTAGATAATGGCTGAATTTTCATTTTTGGGTGCACTATCCCTTTAAGTCATCTGGTGAAAATTCTTGTATTTTTTAATATTGCAATATATATTGCAAAACAGAAATATCGCAATGTCAGTTTTTTCCAATATCATGCAGCCCTACATTCTACTGTAGCCTTTAAAATGTCTTTTTTACCAAATTGTGTGGCTGCACTTCAACCTGTGTCTTGATCTGTATCAACACTGGATAATAATAATAATAAAAAAAATGTTTTGTGGCATTCATTCTACTATTATGTATTTATTTCTTAATATTTTACAAAGAGTTTTAGGAGTTGAGACATACAACAATTCATATCCCATCCATTTTTATTTTACGGGCTGGTATCGGATTGGTACTCGGCAGATACCTAAGGTTCAGGGATCGGAATCTGTACCGGGAAGGAAAAAGTGGTATCGGTACATCTCTAGATAAAAGTTGTAATGTCTTTGCAATCCCACATACAGTGAAAAAATTTGTATTCACTGTTTGCCTGCGAGCCTCAGCACATATTACACCCCAGTCATCCAAGGAAATATCCTCCTGTGAGTATGTAAGGTTTTAGTGATGCAAGATGTCAGTTAAAGTGTATACGCATGCACAACCCTGTTAATGTCTGAAATAAATCTAAAATGTAATCTGTGATAGAAGTTGATTGAAAAGATAACTGTGATCTGTTTAAGATTACGTCAGTCTGAGAGCAGAGGGTTCTAATTTACCACCACCTGATTTAAAAAAGAAGAAAAAAGTTGAATGTTTCTAAGACTGTAAAGAAGTTTTCAAAGTTTGGATGGCATTTGCATTGCACTCATGTGGAAGTTGTGGATGACCATAAAAGAACAGGCGAGGATATGAAGTTAAAAAGTGTGCTTCACTAAAAGCAGAGTAACATTATTAAAGAACTGAAAACATGGAGTCGTAACTAGAAGCTGCTCGGCCCCTCACAGTTTACAGTGCAGATCAACCAGACTGATGTATTGCGCACGACCTTGACTTTAAACACTTTAAATGTGTTTTAATTTCAGAGCCATTAAGAATAAATCTATTCATCTTTTTACAACTTGAATTTGCAGTTCAGTCTCAAACTGAACCACTTTAACTGGTCTTTTTAACATTAGAGGGACTTACTGAGGTCTAAACTGGGTTTTCCTCCACCTGCATGGAGCCCGTTTGCAGCTGTGCTTGAAACCATTCACCGCCGGCCAAAGAGCTATATATTAATTTACTGATGCAGCCTCAATAAAGCCAAGTGAGATCCTTCATCATGTACTTATGGTGCTCGGCTGAGTCTGTAATTATTTCTGTAAAGAAGCCAGCAGCTGCTCCTTTGCAGAAAGGACTCCTGTGTGAGTGTCCACAAAAAGGGGCCTGGCCTTTTAGCAGCAGGCAATAAAAGGGCCACCCAAAACAGGGCCCTTAATAAGCAGTTATTACATGGCGCACCTGTAGCATAGACGACACTGGGGAGGGGGGGTCACGGCTCAGGTGAAGCGAGGGGTCGCCAGGCCTGCAGGTATATCACATGGCTGCTTTGATTGGACAGTTTTATCTCCATTACAAACGTATTAAAGGCTGAGTTATTACTGACTGTGACTTCACAGAGCGCAGTCATCACGAGGCTGTATATCAAAGGACGTGAACTAACATCAGTGGAGGATAATGACACACCTCACAAAGATGAAACAACAATGGAAGAAGATAATTCAGGGTTGTTCAGCATGATACATGGGTGGTTGAGCTCAGGACACACGGTCCCCAGAAGCTCTTCTTCCTCCCAGAATGCTTTGTGTCACAGCCTTCATAAATTAGAGTTTAAACTCAGGGAAAAGTATAATTAGTGATTTATTTTTAAACACATCGTACATGTCAGAAAATACTTGTTGAAAACATGTGAACAGACTGTGAACTGTGTAGTACTGAACTGTTAGGTTAGATTATTAAACTGTTTCTCAACATTTGTGTGTGGCGGGCCTTAAATCATGGCCTGATGCTCCTGGCCATCATTAACATAACCCCTTCCCCACTGTATAAAAATTAAAGTTAGCCTGCATAACATCAGTGTCATTTTGTGCACCGCCCTGAGGGTGAGCGCTGAGTTCCCTACGTGAATAAACATCTTTGTTAAGTGCCACAATCATATGGACCCTTTAAGGCCGACGTTACAATGATGTCACTTTATTAGCTGCAAAACCTGCCTCTCCCCCACAGGGCTGTAGGCTCCATAGGAGTGTTAAAATGTGTTTGTCTTGTTGTGTTATTGGGAGCCAGAATAGAAGGAGTCATGGCTCAAAACCAGCCGCCACTGCCCGTCAACAAAAACAAAGACAACTATGGTTAAATGTGATAAGACCAAAGGACTGGACGGAGGCCATCATCAAAAATGCTCACATGTGCAGCGCACACTTCATATCAGGTTAGGGAAAAAGTATTTCCTGTTGTAGGGATGAATAAGGTTATGTGTATTAAGGGTTATCATGTCCACCTCATCAGAAACTGGGGAGGGATTAAGAGGAATATTGGATTTCTCTGCAACGCTAACTTTTTAGCACATTAGCTAACGTTAGCTTCCATAGCAAAACAAACAAGTGTGGTCCTCCTTTGTAAGATTGGCTTCCTGTGACATCATCCATCCACTGAGTGAGAGCATACGGGTCGGCCAGTCTGGTCCCGTTGGTCAGTGTTTACTTATTCAAGTAACACTGGCGGTCCCGGAGAGTGAGTGACCTGACATGGTGCGTTGGTAAATTCAGTCTGACGCTCTACACTAAAATGAGAGCCCTGTTGGTGGAAGAAACGCAGCGTTATATTTCTACATGAATGAACCAACGGTTAAGTTAATCACACATTCACTCCGCTCGGCGCTCTGCTGCTCCGTCTCCACAGACAGAGTGTCCAGAGTGCGCTCTGCCACTCTGAGAGTGCGCTGCTCTGGATAACCCAACGCTACATTCAGACAGCGCTCCCAATTTATCAACGCTCCAGTTTGTGTCAGAGTGCGCTCCCACACTCACAATGAGTGTTTCTGAACGCACCACTCACATCATCTTCCTCCATTGTCTAAAACAAGCCAACAGAACTTTCTAGCTAGCGTTAACTAATGTCTGTGGAGAACTGTTTTGCCTCCAGCTAAGCCCCGCCCACCAAAAAAACATCATACTGTTTACTACCAGTAAGAGAGTCTATACACTAAAAAAACATACTTATTGTATTATATTCCTTCTCCACCAGTATATCCTCCTAAATCCGACACCCTGGACCTTTAAAAATTGATGGCTTTGTCTTTTGCTTTGATTTTGTATTTTTCTTTCCAGGAGCTTTGGATGAGACATTTCAGAGCAGACAAGTTCAGGAATTTATTTCTTTACCAGCACTTAGATAAATACTAACTTCTGTGTGCTAACAGAGCATTCAGTGTCCTCGGTGGCTTTCCAGGGAACCACTTCCTAGAACAGCTCACTAGCTTCTAGGAAGAGCTAATTAGAGTGCACGGAGATGTGCCACTAACTTTAGCTCCCTCCCTGCATAGCATCCCTCTCTAACCCTCACAGATCGATCTCACTTCTCTTCTCTCTGTTCCTCTCAGGATCCTGGAGGAGGCAGCAGTAGTGGCAAAGGACACAGTTGTATGTGGCTTTCGTAAGGAAAACATGGAGTGGTGCCTGTGTGTCTGGAGGGGCTGGGGCTGCCGCGAGCTGGAAGTCTTCTACCAGTCTTATGAGGAGCTTGGCCGCTTGGAGACCAGCATGAGGAAAAGAAGGTAGCTGTTGTGCTGCGTCGGCGAGGCGCAGAATCGCAGCTCTGTACGGAGGGCGAGCCGAGGGGAATACACACCGACAGACTGCCAGTGTTCAGAGCAGGGGGCCGCCGAACGCTGACATCAGGGCAACATAGGAGGGGGGAGGAGGTGTGCTGTAAGGGCCAAGCCTCCAGCTGTGCACAGTGGTTACATCCCCTCACTACTTAAGTACAAATAAGACCTGAATATCTGTAATGCCACAGCAGACATGAAGCTGAGTCACAGATCAAACTTAACTTCTGCTCAGAGGTTTAAATGTTGGTCACATATTCATATTTAGCCCGTTTGGTATGACTGGAATTCAGTTCAAGATGTGGCGGAGTGTTTGTGTCTGACTCCAGCTGCTGCAGGCCATTGTTTATTCTTTCTGTCTATTTCAGTCTCCCCTCATTTAACTGTTCCAATCTGCAACTTTATGGACGGGGACATTGTAAGTATTGAGTCTTTTTAAATGAAGCTGGTGCTGCTGGGAAACAGCTGTTTTCTGGAAACAAACAGCAGGTTGTAGATGACACTGAACACAGTGTTCCTGTCTTTAACTGTGCCATATGAATCTGCATCCCAGCCACAGCTCCCATTGTTACCAGAGCGGTCTGTAAGCAACAAACGAACATCTGTGATCGGCGCAACATTATGCAACAGACCAGTGGTTCCCAGCTGCCGTCATTAAAACCTGATGCTTTGGCAGGTTCTCAGAGATAAAAGACCACTTTATGTTTTTTTAAATGAGGCTCCACTGCGGCTTCAGACACCACAGTGTGTTTCCTGCTCAACTCTGTCCCACTTGCATGTGTATCTCAGGAGAACAGAAAGTCATCAGTACTGGATGTGATGCCAAAGACAGAAGCTGGTGCGTGTGCACATTTGACATAATGTAGAAGACAACAGTGGATCATTAATTCAGTTTGTTGGATACTGAGGCCCCGTCCACACCTACACAGATATTTAAGTGCAATATCCTGTGGTGCTGCAGAGATGCCCTGGCCTAAAAATTATTTTCCAGGTGTAAAGGGGACATGCTCATTAGATAGAGACCCCAGCAAAAATCACATCATCATCATTTTTATATATTTTTTCAGTGGAACTAAAATGCAAAAATTACCTTTCCCATAAAAATTGCAACTCATATTGCAGTCGCAACATTTGTCAAAATATTCGCAATATGATTTTTTTTTTTTTGCCTACCGTGCAGCTCTAATCAACACTAAATGCAACTCCAAACACTCGTTAATGTTAGCTGTCAACTGCAGCGCAAAGATCTCATTATCCCTGATTCATACAAGGCCAAGTATATATGTTTATCTGTCACACCTTACCAACAACAGTCCCACTCTCGAAAGTGTTCCACAATCTGCTGGTTGGGCCGGATCTGATCCAAACTATTTTTTTAGGCAGACGTTAAACCACAGACACTGAGGTGGACCAAATAACACTGGGCGTGGCAGACGCCTCTGTTTGTCTGTGAAGTGGTGCAGCAGTACTAAGGTTATGTGTGAAGTATTCATTAGACCAAGTGGTGATAAGAAAACGTTAGCAAATCGGTAGTCTGTTGTTCGTTTTTTATCTGGCTCATGCTCATTACTCAAAGCAACAATGGGCAATGTACAAATTGAGATGATGTCATCGCCTTCCAAACACTCCCTTTTACACGTCCACACAGATACACAGTAATCAGTTTTGAAAAATCTTAACCTTAGAGGGTGTTTTAAAAAAATCTCTGTTTTAGTGACATAATGTCTTGTTTGTGTGAACGAGAGGCCAAAAATATTCTGGCCTATAAACACCGCTTGTTCTTATTTTCTTAAATTTCTGGTGTTATTAAAACCCTGTCTACACGTATACAGATCATTTTGAAACCTGATATCTGTCTCTACGTTTTGGCCTCTTGTCCACATGCAAACAGAGGTTTAGGTCCCTAAAACAGAGATTATTTAAAGTGCCTTCTAAGGTGAAGATTTCTGATCAGTGTTTATTTGTGTGGACGAGTAGAATGGAGCGTTTGAGAAACGATGACACAATCTCCTTAATTTGTCCACGTCCACTGTTGCTTTGTATAACGAGTTTGCAACAACACCGTGGACTAACTCACCGGCTTGTTTACCTTTTATTAGCACTGCTTGGTCGAAGGACTACTTTACACCTAATATGACTGCATCACTTCACAGATAAACAGAGGCGTCTGCTGCACCCATCCACGTTTTTGAGTCTACTATAAACAACGGTTTTGGATCACCAGGCCCGGTCGAATCAGAAGATGCTGGGACAATTTCTAAATTGGGATTGTTGTCGATGAGGAGTGGAAGGAAACTTTTGCATCACTCTGTTTTAGTTCAGCTCCTTCTTCCATATATCAGAGGTGAATCAGCAATGATGAGATCTCCAGTAGGTGTTTTGGAAAAGGTAACGTTAGCCTGTACACTTAGCTACCTTTGCAACAAGGGGAGACTGCGGTAGACAGCTTACACTGGCAAGTGTTTGGAGTTGTTTTTGCATTCTAGTTTGGACAGAGATATCTTGAAAAATAAAGGTCATGTGGACAGAAGTTTTAAAACAAAGAGGGAAAATATCATTCTTTTTTATTTTAAAATACACCCACCGTTACCATCAGTACTTTCAGGTGTCACCAAATCATCCATAACTGAAATCAGCTGGACTTCCGCTCCCATGAGGCCGTTACAGTGTGCTGAATGCTTCCCATGGGTGTTTTAGTTTTTTCTGAATGACAAACCTTTCTTTCTTTCACTGTACAGTGGTACATATCAGTCCAGGTGACACCTCTATTGCAGAAGTTTGGACTTGAATCAAAGGACTTGGACTCAGGTCACACGTTTGAAGACTTTAGACTCGACAAAATCAAAAAAAGACTTGCAACTTGACTCGGACTTTAACACCAATGACTCATTTCTCTCAACTGATTTGATTTGAAAATACTTGATACCTGAAGAATGCGCCACAAATCACTTAATTTCCTTATCAAAAACATTGACACTATTCACTCCCTGTAAGTCTACACTTAATTCCCCAGACCCATTTTGTGTGAGCTAATCAGACAGCACCCTGCTAAGTTGCAGGAGAGAGCCAAATGTTACATTACTGAGCGCTAGTTGGAAAAAATGTTACCAAAGATAATTTAATTCACGTATAAAAAGATTGCAATTTGTTGAATTTCAGACTGCAAATCTTGGAGGATGAAGATGGAACAACTTTGTTCGACATTTGAGGTTGCACAGGGAACAGTAAGTCAAGGCCAGTGAGAAAATAGTCAGTGAGCTCATGTTAAATGAATGTTAGCTTAACAGCAAAGGAAGTTTTAGCAAATTTGTTTTAGTAGATAAGGGAAATTTTAAAAACAATCATGATTTCTGTAAATTTAATACTGTATTATAAACATTACATATGTAAAAGAGGGCTAAGGACTCGAAACATGTTCAGGACTTGGGACTTGAGTGCAAATGATTGAGACTAACTCGTGACATGCAAAACAATGACCTGTTCCCACCTCTGGTCTGTAGACTCAAAACACCGCCCACATTTTCCAGCCTTTCAGAGACACTGATGAAAGAAACTCTCTGAGTTATAGATGTCAGAGGAACAGTCCATATCTACAAGAGAGGAAAAGACTCAGTGCTCTCTAGGCTCGCTATCCAGCCAAACATAAGCCCTCAGTTTCACCAAAATATCCACAATGTATCACGTATAAGTTTCTGCTCTCTCCTTGCTCCCTGGTCTATCCACACAGCACCAGTGTCAGCAGCCGAGCTCACAGATTGCAGACAGATTCATGCGGCACCACTGAGAGCAGAGCTTTGGGTGAAGTGTTTGCTTAATGATGTGGCGACAATAAAAAGCTGTCAGTCACAGTGTAGAGGCTGAGAGGAGCCCATCGCTCCCTGCATCATGGTTTTACATCTTTTTAATCATTTTATCTTTACAACCAAATCTGTCTTTCGCCGTTTTACATTGGCACATTTCCACTCTGGCCAGTAAAGAAGTGTATATTGTAGCCTGGGGGTGAGGCAGAGGTTATGTATTTATCAGAACGTGTACTGAAATGGAAGCTGTTGTGTAAATATCTGCTGTACAATATGTTACTAAATAAAGTTCTTATGATAACTCTGCTGTCATCACTGAGACACACATGGAAACTTCTGGACACTCAAACCTGTCCCTCTGCTTTCATGCACCGCACACTGTGAGAGAGAAGGAGAGACGCCTGCTGTGATGAAGTGATGATGACAGATGGGAGAAGGAAGCTGATAACAAGGCTCCTGCTTGGTATGAGGAACATAAGTGGCTGCTTCCTGCTCAGAGCTCTGGCAAAGCTTTTTGTTGGACCTGATCCTCACTGCATATTTTCATGCAACAGAATCATGTGCGGCAGTAATGTGATGTGTAAAACAACATGTTAAAGGTACATTAGGTAGGAGTTTCAGTGCACATCACTTATCACCCGCTCTTTGTGTGTGGCGGTGTATTTATCTGCAGAGACTCTGCCTTCAGCCTACATGTTCTTTTTTTTTTTTTCATATTTTGTGTTTGGGACATTTATGGGCGTGTGCCCCAACAATGTCCAGGGCGTTCCCAGGCCAGATGAGATATGTAATCCCTCCAGTGTGTTCTGGGTCTGCCCCACGGGAGGATCCATATCAGATCCCCGAACCACCTCAACTGACCCCTTTCGACACGAAGGCGCAGCGGCTCTACTCCGAGCTCCATCCGGATGTCTGAACTCCTCACCCTATCTCTGAGGCTGAGCCCAGCCAGACAAGAGAGGAAACTCATTTCATCTGCTCGTATCTGCGATCTCATTCTTTCAGTCACTACCCAGAGCTCATGACCGTAGGTGAGGTTTGGGACGTAGATAGGCCAGTAAATCGAAAGCTTTACCTTCCAGCTCAGCTCCCTCTTCACCATGATGGTCTGGCACAGTGCCTGCATCACTGCAGATGCCGCATTAAATCTGTGATCCATTTCACGCTCCAGAAGACCCCGAGATACTTGAACTCTCTCACTTGAGACAGTAACTCTCTCCCAACCCAGAGGAGGCAATCCACCAGTTTCCAGCAGAGAACTATGGCCTCGGATTTGGATCCCCACTTCTTACCATTTCCCCTCGCTATATTTGAATTTAACAGTGGTGTGTCTCTTGGATGCCCGCTGCTAACAGTCTGGCACCTGGTCTCTACCTTTTTTATAAAGCTGCGACCTCACCTGGGCACTGTGAGGACGCACGCCCACAAACGCCTCAAACACAGATGATAGGAAGAAAACAAAGGCAGAGAGCAGAGTCTCTGCAGATGAATACACCACACACTGAGAGTGGTTTGTCCACTTAGTCATACATCCTCATGTCTCAAATGCTGCAATGTGTCTGTAGAAACACCCAAATTTGATGTCTCAAACACTGGTGAAAATGCTGCGCCAAAAACCAATTTGCTGTTAGTTGGTCTTGAACAGTTGTCTGCAGCTTGGCAGCCATCTTGCCAAGATGTCTCACCATCCACCACCCCCTCCATCTCCCAGTGACAGAATCAGCTTCTATATTAAGTCACTTTTTGCGATGCTGCATTTTAAACGTACAAATGTAACGTATCCATGGTATTGCCCTAGTTTTTGCAGCATGGCACTAGTTGGTCCTCGTTGGCTGTTTTTTGGCCGATTTAGTTCAGCACAGCGTATGAGAAGAGAAACAGAAGTGAAGAAAGCAAACAGTCAAGAGGGCGTGAGAGCAAAACAAACTTGATACATCAGGGAAGATTATTTCTTTCTAACCACTGAGGTCTTCAGCAGAAAAGGTTCCTGATGGTTTGTGTTAGTGTTCGCTAGGTAGATATCATTTGTTCTTTAACGTCAGGTTGTGTTGTTAATGTGCTAACTGGCTCACTATTGTCTTGAATCCATCCGGTCAGTCTATCTGTTTCCCTTTTTGAATTACCAATAAAGACTACTGCCACCTGCTGGTATGGAGAGTTATGTCCTTTCATGCAGGCACAGGATGTACTTGCTATTTAGCCGTCGGTGTCAGTCTTTGCGTTGTGTTTAAGTGCAACTTTTCGGCTGAAACACAGGTGATGTGAGGCGATGCAATAGTTGACCTTCATTGCCACCAGCTGTTTGAGGTCGGTTTGGTGTGTCTGGGTTTTAAACAGGATTTCTAAACATTGCCTAACACAAAAGGAGGCCTAAACAATAAACACAGAATAAAACAATAAAAATGAACAATAAAAACAGACTTGATGGGAGAAACACTGACCCGTGCTTACGAACATTTTGGAGACAGGAAATTGGCGACGCAGATGGTGAGGTGGAAGCCTGATTGTAGAGATTGTCAAATATGTTTTGGGACACGCCATTTTTGTTTTTAGTCCTTTTGTACATTTTTTATATTGATCCTATGCACTGTTTTATAAATCAGACCATGGTTTCTTTTCTGTAAATGCAGCCATGTTATCATGAGGAAACATTACTGATCAGACATCGATCTCTGAGCTTCAACATCAGCTTTAACAGGGAAATAATTTTGACCTTAAATGATCCAGAATCCTGAAAAGACAAGAGGCTACAGAGATTTTCTTGGAAATACCTGGCCTCTCCTGTAAACAAGATGACAGCGTCGGTGCCAGGAGTTTACTCAGCAGCCAACACGGTGGCACTACAAATATCATGAATGATGCTCTTGTCATTTAAAAAGACTTGGCCTTCTGTTGGACTGATATGAATAAATCATGCTCAGTCTACGGGTGCTCTCATTTAACCTCTGCTCAGGCCAGAGTACCCACAGAAGTCCTGGCTGCTCGCAGCTCAACTCAGCTTCAGTCTGATCACTGCCGGCCTGCGGGCAGGATTTACACATCTTTGTGCTGTGTTACTGAGCAAAACCCCATTTTAAACCTGTCACATGGATTAATGGTTCGTAGATGCAGCCTGTGGTTTTCCTCGGATTGTCAGACAGAAGAGGGCAGTAGAGAGAAGACTTGATAGCTAATCTATGTGACAAGCTGCTGTGATGGATTGCAGCTGTCAGGAGGGTTTCCATTTTTCTCTTCAGTCGTAGTTTATCATTATGCGTCTCTTTTCAGTCGTGTTCATGATTGTTATGACATGTTCTGTTTGTCAGAAGTCATGTTAATGCACTTTAGTGAAACAGCCTTTGAATGTTTCCATTTGAGTAAACCCACCCTGCCTGGTAAATGTCTCTGAAACTCACACCTCCAGTTTGTAAAGCAGATGCTCTGTTTTTTGTAGAACTCCAACGCAAACTGAGATAACGCCGATGACATCACCAGGAAATCAGTGGAGTGTCCCTTTAATGGAGTTATACTCTACTATTAAACTGGGGTAAAGAAAACGCACATATTTGATTAGATAATACATCATTTGCATATTCAAACATAAAATGTCACGAAACTTGCAATACAAAAAAACTGTCTTAATGTAAGTAATCAGCTGGGGAAGTTTCATGATGATATCTATTATTCAAATATTTTTTAAATATATTCATAATGTCTTTTTTTTCTATAAATGTATGAAATTTTACAATCCATATTTTCAAAGGCCGTTTTCTAAAAAATGAGTTTTTCCTCATAGTCTGAGCCAAAAAATCTCAACTTCAGCAACACTTATAAACAGACTCTCCAGCTTTATTCCTTGGTAAATTCTGAAGGTTTTGACGAAGGGGCTGTTCATACATTATTCATCGTCTGATTTATGGAACGTTTTATCCTTAAAACATGGCAAAAATTGTTTTGTTTTTGTGGCTGTTGACAGTATTATCTGATTTATGAAATGATAAAAACGAGAGATCCAAAATTCCCTCTGTAACCACCTGTGACTCTAATGTCTCTAAACATTGAACATGGCTTTATCCAATTTTCATTGTTCTGGAAATTCATAAAAATTGTGTATTTAATTAGATAATGCCTCATTTGCATATTTAAACTTTTAATACAGAAAATAAGTGTCTTAATAGAAATATTTAACTGTGGAAGTTTCATGATTATATTTATTATTTAAATAAAAATTTGCTCATTCACCTGTAGAGGAATTTTACAGGCCGTTTTCTCGAAATGAATTTTACTCTGAGCCAAAAATCTCATCTTCAGCTAAAACTGCGCAGTCTTATTCCACACATGATTCTTTTGTTTTTTTGTTTCATGGCTGTTGATAATGTTTTCTGATGGAGTGATAAAAGAGATTTCTTTGTCATTTTTATGCTCCACAAAAAAGTTTAAGTGTTTCACACATGCCACCAATCTTTAAATGTGCTTCAGCACAATATATTAATAATGAATAAGAGCAATAATAAATGGGGAGAATAATTAATATGAGTAAAGTGCCAGTAGCAAAAGTTCCATGTTCAACTGTTCTGATTTAGCCGCCCTTGTTTTGATACTCCTGTGTCTTTTCCAAGACTGCATTAGTGTGAACAGGCAGGAGGAGGGATGAGTGGAGTCCTCTCTATCAATAATTTCCTCCTTATTATTATCTTTGAAGGCTGTTTCCTCAAAATGGGTTTTTCTCAGACTCTGAGCCAAAAATCTCCACTGCAGCAGCACTTATGTACAGCAAACGTTCCAGTTTTATTCCTGTCGATATTCCAAGGGTTTCTACAGAGGGAGATGTTCATACATCATTTATAACCTGATTAACAGAACATTTTATTGCTAAAAACAAGGGGTAAATTTATTTCTCTTTTCTTTTTTTGTGGATTTATTTATTTATTTTTTGGCTGTTGATGGTATTTTTTGTTTTATGGAAATACGGAATATGCAAGTCAGCCAGACTGAGAGTTTGTGTCGAAGTGTGGAGAGTCTGACTGAGAACGGAGTGTGAGAGGGAAAAAAATCACTGGCAACAGGAAGGACACAAATCTAATATAGAAGAGAAAGACTTATATAAATGTGGACAATGAAACATATGGACTTTATTAATGCACTACGTGGCTGTTTAAATAAAGTAGATGAGTGCAGAGATGGAAATCTACAGCGTTATCTGGATGACTCTGCACATTTGGATCCTCAAATGTGAGCAGCCTGATCTCACTCCCAGGGCGTCAGAATATGCCACATGGGCCGTGTCCTTCAAGTAATTATGATGACGTGTCTGTGTGAGAC